ACAAACAAAATATTAAATGAAATTTGCTAAAGTTACACTGCTTCACTTGGGACAAAAATGATGTGACAAAAATTCTGTTTAAAGCTTCGTATTTTGACAACTGATTTTAAATGATGCCTCCATTTCAGATGCTTATTTTAAAATAGGAAATGCAATTCCTAATATATTCAACAGAAATGTTATTTCTTTCTCTTTGCACATTTCCATATGTAATGGTTATGTTTCCATCTACTTTTACAGCCAATTATGAAGGAACAAAAGCTATTCTGTTTGTTCACACATTTTCAACAAAATGCATTAAAACTATTATGTCAGCATGTTCTATTAAGCTCTGCATTCAGTGGAAAATACTTTTCAACCAGCTCACATTTATCAAAACATAAAGCCACTTTAAAACACAGTTTTGCTTGGTCAGCTGGGCTTAGACAAATAATGACAGATTCAGAACTAAATAACTAGCAAGGGAAATCAGAAAACTGACTTCATCAATTGTACACATTACAATGTGGTTGCTTCAAATATTTAGCACATCTGTGCTCATGGTTAAAGGGCATTTTAATTCTTTATAACTTGCAAACATCTGATATTCTCATAATATATAGAGAAAACAAAAAGAAGGTTACTTTAGAAGGTTTAGCTGATTATTACTTCCCTGCACTGAGATTCTGCATTCATGCCGCTTCAAGGCTCACTTGAGAATTTTCAAGTTTTTCAACCTGAACATTTTTTTATATTTAGGATTATTCTAATTGGATGGAAAATAAAGACACTGAGAAATAAATGCCTGCTTGCTTCTAAGAGAGAGACACTGCTAAAAAGTTTAGTAAATTTAGTAAGCTGACATTTGATCTCACTGCACCATCAAGTAATTTAATTTCCTGATGTTTATGAACAATCTGCCCCTATCCCTCCAAAATCCTGGCATCTATTTTGACTCAGTTTAGAAAGAAGCAGGTGTTGCTATACTCTAAAATGCCTAACTTTAAACTCATCTGCATTGTGAACACAATTCCAGGGAAGTAGCTTAAAGAGAAAGAAGACAGGCCAGGAAACCAGCATGAATCTTTAGCCCTAACTGCTAGGAGGAATACTTTAAGTTGCAATTAGATAACAAGCAGACAGAAACACACACACACACACACACACACACACACACACACACACACACAGGCCTGTGTTCTAATTCATTTTTTTCCTGATCCTACCCTCTGTTATCTTGTATCTCTCTCAATAATCTGTTACAGAGGATCACAACTGGTGACCTCATTATAGGAAACTACAGTTGCCTTGTTCCTCCTATTGTGGTGAAAAATCACATTCCGGATCTTTTTCTATGGATCTTGCAATCACATTAATTTTCTAATTCCTGTCAGATAGGAACATTTACCAAGTAAGATCTTTTTTTCCCCCTCAGAAAACACAAAAAGATTATTAAAATTTGTGTGTGTGTGTGTGTGTGTGTGTGTGTGTTTGAGGAAGGAGGTGATATTTTATTGTTACCAAATTGACACTAAAATTCCAGATGTTTAAGCTCTTGCTGTACTATTTAGGTATCCAATTCATATTTGGCACTTTTCATACTCTGAACCAAACCCAGCAGAATGGAAGCAGAAACCTTAAATGTTACAGCCTGTATCAGTCTACTCAGAAAACAAAAATAAAACTATGCCTTCTACAAAGAGGTTCAGCAAGAAGGAAAAGAAAAGGAAAGCAAAACAAAATAGAAAACACACACACACACACACACACACACACACACACACACACACCAGACTTAGTCTTCTGCTTTGTTGCTCTTCAGAAAGACACTTAACTCTACTTCCCAGTACCTTAAGGCGACATTAGCATTTCTTAATAGAACTCAAACAACAGTGGAGTTGGGGCCCCTAATTTTAGCAGGCTGTTCCTTCCCACAGACCCACTTGCAAAGGGCGATCACAAGCATACTTGATGGTATGATCCTAGATATTTTTATTTTTATTTTTTTAAAGCAGAATCTGAACGTCCAGCTTAAGGCTCCAGAAAAGCTGTGTGTACAACATGGGCTGTGCGTTATTTTCTGAAACTCCCTTTATGCGGTATGCAATCAGACACAAACCAAGTGACTTACAGAGCTGGCCCTGCTTGTGTGGAAGGATACAAGAGAAACCTCTAAAAACGAACATGGACAAGATACTCCATTTAAAGCCCTGGTCCCGGCCCACCTCCCGCTCACAACAAATGAAAGGGGAAAATGTCTTCCCCATGGATGAATCAAACTGAACACTAGATGGGGTTCCAACTGCAAGGGTTTGTTCAAAACTGCTTTGTGGCTTTCCTCTTCCAGTGACGCGTAAAAGAGAGATTCCTTAAGGCGAGATCTAAACGCTGACTACACAAACATTGGCAAAGTCACAAGAAACTAAATCCCTGTTGTTGGAGGGTGAAGCTGAGCTATGGGAACTACCTGTCAATCTTCCTCTTTGGGGGTCTGGCATCTGGGGGTGGCAGGGGAATAAGGTTAGGAAAAGAAGCCATGCTGATAAGGAGAAACTAAAATAAACCAGCAACTTCCTGCTAAGTGACTAGCAAGACTCAAATTGGGGGTCACTGGGAAGACACTGAAGGACACATTATGGTCTGGACCTTGTCACCTTTGCATGGGAGGAGGCTGGCAAAGGTTAAAACAGCTCTGCAAGTATGGGTTTTCTAAAGCCTTGGCACAAACTTTTTTTTTTTTTCCTGGGGGAGGGGTGCTGGTCTCAGGTTATTCTCTCTCTCTTTCCTCTAAGAATATCTGGAACACAGGCTTTCTGCTCCAGGGATTGTGTTGGGGGGGGGGAACCCACGTTTAAGCTGTAGAAATTTTTCAATTTTTTTTTTTTTTTTTTTTTTTTTGTTACTACACAGAGTTTGGCTAAGTTTTGAAACCTGGAACCTGCCTGAATCCCCGAACTCCCCCTGAAACCCGACCTCCAGATTCTCTACCAGAAAAACGTGAGCTTTGCCTTCTGAGGGATATTGTTGGCCAAAGACAACATGAAGCCTCCAAACATGGAGAAAAGGAACAAGTTCCCTAAGAGCACCCTATAATCTGGTTTCTTGTGCCCATGAGCGAGCCATTGCAGAAATGGTCTGTAAAATGTACCAACAAATACTTGCTACTAAAAAGCCACCTTCACATATTTTATCTCCTATCTGATTCCGACTTAGCTGTATGCTTGTTTCTTGACATTATAGAAAGTATCTGCAGCCTGAGGCAAATCTCAAAGAAAAACAAAACAAAACAAAAACAGTTTAGTTCCTCATCCAGAATCTTCTATTATGCCAAACTTAAAATAGGCTTGATTAAATTCTTTCCAACTGCCTTATCTTGCAGGTGTCAGTTTTTTTTTTTTTTTTTTTTTTTTT